CTCCTTCTTCCTCTCCCACTCCCCCTGCTTGTGTTCCCTGTCTCGCTGTGTCTCTCCGTCAAATAAATAAATAAAATCTTAAAAAAAAAAAAAAAAAAGTCTTTGCTATTGATAAGCATCTTTAAAATATGCCATAAAAATTCAAAAGATAATTCCATGGGGAATTCTAATTGGGATGAAGAAAACAAGAATAAATCTTTGCAGCTTACTTGTATTTATTATTGTGTTACTGTGCTGTTATTTTATGTTTATTTTTTTTGTTTGTCCCCATAATGATTAGCAATAAGACTTTTAAAATTAAAAAAAAATTGTTATAGCTTTGCTTGGATAACATATTGGAATAGGTACCTTTTTTTAAGGCCAATTCAAAGGATGTCCCTGGTAAAACTAATGTTAATTCGTTTTCTGTTTTGGGGTAGACCTGTCACCTCCATTGACAGTTTCTTATATATATAGCAGTTTCTTTTGGTTTTGCTAATGAAAAACTCTGGATGCTGAGTATGCATAGGTTTTACCACTATTTTTTAATGTTTTTATTAAATATTAGATGTAAAAGAATGTTGGCACAAAATGTATACGATAAAAAGAACAACAATACAAATGAAAGAAAGGCATCAAGATTGGAAAGGAAAAGATAAAACTATTTTTATTTGCAGTGTGGTCTTGTATATAGAAACTCCTAAGGAATACACACACACACACACACAATTTCAAATTATTAGAACTGATAAGTTCAGCAAAGTTGTGAGGTACAAGAGCATTATTGCAAAGCCCAATTTATTTTTAAGGAATAAATAATGCAAAAACAAAATTTTTAAAATTTCAGTACTCAGGAATATGTGCAAGACTTGTACACTGAAAGCTATAGAACATTGTTGAAAAAAGTTAAAGATCGAAGTCAGTGGAAGGACATCACATGTTTATGGATCAGAAGACTTAATTCATTAAAGTGGCAGTGCTCCCCAGATTAATCATATTCAACATAATCTCTATCAAATCCTGTTTTTTTGTAGAAATTGACAAACTGGTCATATGTAAAAACAAGAGATCCAGAATAGCCAAAAAAGTCTTGTAAAAGATGAACATAGGGCTCACTGATTTTAAAACTTACGACAAAGCTGCGGTAATCAAACAGTATGGTACTCACATAAGGAGGACATAGGCTAGTGGAGCAGAATTGAGAGTACAGAAGTAGACCCTTACATTTGTGGTCAGTTGAATTTCACCAAGGGCGGCAGGAGTTTTCAATAAGGAAAGGATAGTCTTTAAGAAAGGGTGCTGGGACAACTGGATATCCATATGCAAATAATGAAGTTGGATGCAGACCTCATACATACTAAAAAATTAACTCAAGGGGTGCCTGGCTGTCTCAGTCAGTGGATCATGCAACTCTTGATCTTGGGGTTGTGAGTTTGAACCTCACGTTGGGTGTAGAGGTAGCTTAAAAATAAAATCTTTAAAAAAATTAACTCAAAATGAATCAAAGATTTAAATATAAGAGCTACAAATATAAAATTCTTAGAACAAAAAACAGGTATAAATCTTCATGACTTTGGATTACGCACTTTCGTTTCTTAGATACAACACCAAAAGCATAAGCAACAAAAGAAAAGAGATAAATTGGACTTAATCAAAATTTAAAACTTGTATGCTTCAAAGAACACCATGAAGAAAGTCAAAAGGCAGCTCACAGAATGGGAAAAAATATTTGCAGATCATACATCTGGTAAGGGAATTGTGGCATAAAGCTCACATGGCTCACTCCCTCACACTGCTTCCAGGAATCTGCCCACCTAAATTAGCGCTGGTTGCCTGTCACTCTGTATCTCTCTTACCCTGCCTTAAAAACAAACAAACAGACTTACTACTTGTTACTTACAGCACTTATTACTGCCGTACATTTATTTGTTTACTACCAGGCTCCTTCACCTTCCTCCCCCCAGGTGAGTCTGATTGGGGCAGAGACTAGTTCCTACACTGCTCTATCTGTAGCTAGAGCAGTAGCTGTCGTTGGTGTTCATTAAATGTTGGGACAATGAATGAGTAAATCCTTCAAGTTCCAGAGCTCAAGCAGTACTTTCTCTTTTCCTATTTGGTTCTCATAGATTTAGTCCCTATTCTGAATTCCTTTGATACCTATTGCCTTTACTTTGGCAACAAGTTCAACTTTGACATTAATATTTGTATATCTTGTCTATCCGGTGAGGCAAGGACTGTACCTTACCTTTTTCTTCGCCTAGAAAGTCTAGGATACAGCAGGAGTCAGCAAAAACTCATTAAATTTAAAAATAAACCAAGTTAATCTGTATGGTGTTGAATCACAAGTCCTTTCAACAAATTCATTTATTCATTTGACGAATATTTAGTGAACATCTATATCTCAGGCACTATTTCAGGTGCTAAACATATAGCAGTAAACAAAATGGGCAACATCCCTGCTTTCATGAAGCTTACAGTATAGAGAGAGAAGAGATAAAAATAAACACAAATACTAAGTGATACCTGCTATGAGAAGAATAAAACAGTAAGCAGAATAGGGAGTTCCAGTGTGATGTTGTGAGAGTTCTATTTTAATTTAGTTTAGTTTTTTACTATTTTATTTTTTAAAGATTTATTTATTTTAGAGAGAGTTGGGGGGGGGGGCAGACGGAGAGAATTTCAAGCAGAGTCTCTGCTGAGCACGGAGCCCGATGCAGGGCTCAATCCCATGACCGAGATCGCGACCTGAGCCGAAACCAAGAGTTGGACGCTTAACTGACTGAGCCACCCAGGTTCCCTGAGAGTTGCTATTTTAATCGTTGTTGGGGGAAAGCCTCTCTGACTAAAGGAGCAAGCCCTGTAGATGTCTGGTAGGAAAGCTTTGGGGGCGGGGGGAACAGGAAGTACAAGGCTCTTCAACAAAGATTCTTGTGTTTGAAGTAACTGTGTGGCTGTAAGGCTGAGGCTGGTAGGAGATGAAGTCAAATCATGTAATGCCTTGAGAACATTTAACAGTCTTGGTTTTCTTCAAGTGAGATGGGAGGCTATTGGAGAGTTTTTGCATGCGGGATAATTTTGGTTGATGTGTGGATTTAGAGGTGTGTGTCTTGGGTAGAAGCAGGGAGACCAATTAAAAGGTTCTTGGAATAATCCAGTTGAAATATGATGCTAGCTTATTAGACCAGAGTGGTAGCAGTGGAAGTGGTGAGAATTGGTTTGATCCTGGATATATTTTGAGAGTAAATCTGATAGAATCTGCTAATGGTTTGGATGTGGACATAAGAGAGAATCAAACATAATTCCTAAGATTTGGGCTAAGATTTTGGTAATAGAGATGCTGTTAACTGAAAGGAGTGAAAATATAGGTGGTATTATTTTGTTTTGTCTGTTGGGGATTGGGGATTTACTGTGGAATCAGTCAGTTTCTGACACATTAAGTTTGAGATGTGTATTTAATACCCAAGTCGAAATAACAAGTATGTAATCAGATACATTGGAGTTAAAGAGGGAGGCCCAGGTAAGACACCTAAATTTGGAAGTTGTCAATGTATAGATGGTTTTTAAAGCCAGAAGAATCAATTAGATCACCCAAGAAGTGGCTATAGGAGAAAAAGTCCTCTGACTGAACCCTGGGGCACTCCAGAATTTGGAGGTTGGGGAAATGAGGAATCAGCAAAGGAGACAGTGGAATATAACAGATGATGTAAGAGGAAAGTCAAGAGTGTCTGAAGTTAGCTGGGGGGGGTTGAAAGTACAAGGAGGGAACAATTACCTGTGTCAAATACTGTTTGATAAACGATAAATTTGATAAGTCAAATGCTGTTTGATGAGAATTGACTTCATTAGTTACTAATTCATTAGGGTCCACCATACCAATCGAATAATTGCCTAAGCAAAATTAATGAGCTTCTCAGGAAAAACCCGTCTCAACATTTGCCAGTTATGTATCTGTTAAATGTAGACTCTGCTAGGGAGCCTGGGTGGCTCAGTCAGTTAAGTGTCCAACTCCTGTTTTCAGCTCAGGTCATGATCTCAGGGTTGTGAGATCAGGCCCTGTGTCAGGCTCCACGCAGAGTCTGCTTAAGATTCTCTTTCTCCTTCTCCCTTTGCCCCCCCCCCCTTTTCTCTTTTTCTAAAATCTTTTTAAAAAATTTTAAACTTTGCCAATTAGAAAATTTAAAATGTTAGTCCTGAGTTTTCAAATTGTAACTGTACATTATATGTGATGTGGTACCATATTAAGAAAGGATTTCAAAGACATGTTTTTGTTTTAGTGCATCCTTTGTCATTATTGTGTGAAACCAATGGAATCCATTCATAGACTCTGATTATAAAATTGGGTAATTCCTCATATCCAAGCCAGAGAAAAGAAAGGACTTTCGGAAATCTGTGTCTCTTAGCTTTCTTTCTTTTTTTTTAAACTATAAGACGGAATGTGGAATATTATATTTATTACAGCTAAGTTCCAATTAGAAGCTAATCTGCAGTTGGGTTGACTACTATCAGTGTTTAACATAAATTTAAATAGCAGAAAATTTCCTTTACCTCAGCCTGATTGAAATCCAAGAAGCTTTGCTTACCTAGCTAACCTTGAAACCAAAAGAATATTAGTATTGCAAGTGAATGATTCGTTTATACTATTAGCTAGGCTCATCATGATTGTATTAGACATCAGTTTTTACATAATAGACTTTTTAGTCCTCTTAATTCTGTTCTTTAAAATGATTTTTCTGATGTATCAGTAGCTTAGGAATTTGAAAATTGAATTTTAGTATCCGCCTGCTGCTTAGTTCTAGAATAATGGAAGTATTCTGTATTTGACATACACCATACCTCTTAATAGCAAATCTTGCTGAGTTTGCTGCTGGTTATACATCATTATCGAATGACACAACAGCATTCTCTACATAGTAGAGAAAAAGATAGTTTAGGATGTGAGTAAAAGGACACCATTATGCTGAACTGCCATGTGGTGTGAGATTTTTTATGAAGATTTTCTCTTTTATTCAAATGTTGCCAAGGATTTGAAGCGTTCATTACCAGCTGGACTTGGTCTCTCAGAAACCCAAATTACATCTCATGGCTTTGACAATACCAAAGAGGGGGTTATTGAAGCAGGAGCATTTCAAGGTAAGAGCCTACATATTTTTAAAGATGGCTGGGTGGCGGATGGGAGAAATGCATCAAAAGTTATCTTTATTAATAAAGCATAATAAAGTCCTTTGATTCTGTGATAAAACACTGATTTTATAAGCATAATTTTTTCTCTTCAATTTAAATAATTTAGGAATTGTTTTAGTAGTCTTTATATAAATAGATCAATATGCATAATTTCACTGATTATTAAAGAATTGGTTTTAAAATATTAAAGTAAAAACTGAAAAATTATATAAAAAATGCAGATTTAAATTATTTTAGCTTTTAACCACAAAATTTATAAGTATTATTTTATATAAATACATATTTCCTATTTCAAAACAATTAGAAAAGTAACTTTTGTTTTTCCTGTTATACATTCCATGTAAGAGGTCTCCCAATACCACCCTCAGATTCAGTAATTTGCTGAGAGTACTCACAGAACTCAGTATATAGTCATACTCATGACGATGATTATTACAGAGAAAGTATACCAAACACAATTAGCAAGGGCAAAGGATGCCTGAGGCAGTCTGGCAAAAGTAGGCATAACTTACAAGGGTCTTCTCCCACAGGACATTAGACAGCAGTCATTAATTATGTTTAATTCCCCCAGCAGACTGTGACAACATGTATGAACTATTGCGAACCAAGGAAGCTCTTTAGAGCCTCAGTGCCCAGGGCCTTTATTGGAGATTGCTTGTATAGGCACCCTCTGCCTGGCAGGTACCAACATTCCAGACTCCCAGAAGGAAAGCAGGCGTTTAGCCTAAACCACATTGTTTGTATAAACAGTTTAGGCATAGTGAACCAGTTTTACCATTCTAGGAACGGAGGCCCAAAATATAAGTTTCCAGATGCCAACCAAAGGCCAATTATGTAAGCTGGACTCTTTAAGGATAAACAGACTTGCTATGTTAACTCTTTTCTGCACACATTTCATATATAAGTCTATTTTTAATATAAGGGAAAAGTTGCATCCTTTTAATACTTTGCATATAATAACCTTTTTCAGGTTTTTTTTAATTTTCATGTGAGTGAAAGTAAAACCATGTAAACATTTGGATATAAAAAATAAATTGTTTTCTTTCTTTAGCTATAGTTAAAATAGTTATATTTGATGTTCAATGAAGTATATTTTAAAACTTCATTATAATTTCATAAAATGAAGAAAAATCTCTGTGCCTTTGCAATCCTTAGCCCTCTTGTAGATAATAGTATTCTGTATTTTTATTATACTAATAGCCAATACTTGATTCAGAAACAACTTATATTTTGAAATATATTCTTTCCTAAATGGGTCCTGCAAATAAGCATTTAGGATAATCTAGAATAACAGCCTCTGCTCTAGGCTATAAAATGAATGGGCTATCTAGTGACATCATTTTTCCCCCTTTTTATCCTTAGGTTCAGAAAAATAAAACCATAGAAAGGTAACATACGTGTCAGTATCTCAGTAGTCATTATGTAGCATTCTGGCTAGCATATCTTATCGAGGGGATAACTTTGATTTTGAAAGGGTTGACTGCCTAAAATTATGAGTGCTTAAAGGATAAAAGGCTTGCATAATGTGACACCATTTTTGGACCAGTCACCAATTTCCAAATTTAAATGTCAATAGGAAATATAAAAATGCTTTTACTAGTAAGATGTTTTAAGTATTCTCAGTAAAATTATTTAACTGATATTTGGTTTAATCTTTTTCCCCTTAAGTAGAATAGTAGTATATACAATGATTGAAATCAACTGACCATTATAAACTGTTGTGTGTAAGCATGGAAATGCTGACAAGTTTCACTTGCTTATTGATATATCCTAGTCCTTCAAAGTGGAATAAAAAATATGTTTCATGATAATGGCAGTAATTTATGTCTCTTTGAATTGTCTTTATATAATTTTTTTAACATAAGTTACATTGTTGATCAGTATATTAAAAAGAATCATTCTGCCATATGCAGATTGGTTAAGCATTTATTAGAAAGCTGTAGTTTTTTTGTTTTTTTGTTTTGTTTTTTCAGAAAGTTGTAGTTGTTTTAAGTGTCTTTGTTTAAAAGTGTTTACAGATAAATTGGAATGAACATGAGAAAAAGCAACACTATTAAAATGTATGAAATTGGTCTTATGAAAAAAATGTGAAAGGACTTGGGGCTCTTTTAGCTCTCTGGAAAAATGACTGAATAATAACTTAATAATGACTTTATTACTTGAACAGTTGCTTCAAGAAAAGTATTAACCATTTACTTTTCCATCTCTAGAGCAAATTTAGGAGAACTTATACTTAACTTTTTTTTTTTAAGATTTTATTTATTTATTTGACAGAGAGAGACACAGCGAGAGAGGGAACACAAGCAGGGGGAGTGGGAGAGGGAGAAGCAGGCTCCCCACGGAGCAGGGAGCCTGATGCGGGGCTCGATCCCAGGACCCTGGGATCGTGACCTGAGCTGAAGGCAGACGCTTAACGACTGAGCCACCCAGGCGCCCAAACTTATACTTAACTTTAGCCTACCAACAGCAAATATTGAAATCTACCTAACAAATACATTGCAGAATTAGTAATAGTGGGAATCATGAATAAATCAAAGCTCATTAGAGTGAAGTACACTTGATACCTGAGTTTTGTTTTAGTGGGGTGTTGATCATTACCTACATATATTCATATTCCTAGATTCCTGTTATTGAGGTGAAATGGAGCTAATTCCTCAAAATTTAGTCAATAAGCAAGATTTTAGATTTTTAAGAATTATTTTTTATTGGATATTAGTGAATGATTTTAGTATTGAATTTAGTCTAAATTAGTGATTTAAAGGGTTGAAGATACAGAGAAGTGATAATAACCCATGAAAGGAAAAGGAAAAGGCTGCAGTACCCAGTTACCAGGGCAACCATGTCTTTTGCTATTTTAGTTTGGAAGGTTCCAAATCATTTGTTACATACATTATACACATCTCCTGTGTCATGGGATTATTTCTTATGAAAGATTAATAAACAGTAATAACCAGAACAACAGAGCTCTGTTCCTGGGATCATCAAGAAGTAGAATTACAGTAGTCATTTTTATTTTTAACATTTGCTTATATAACAGAAACCCTTGTGCCTTGGATAGTAGAGATAGTCTTTGTTTAAAATGGTGATTGGATTGGATAACCTATTAAAATGCCTTCCAACTCACTAAGTAATTTATGGATTGGTGTTTTCTGTATTGAATTTAATCATGGAGATTTTAGGGTGTGAATTCAGAGCATCTGAGTCTCTGATAAGCTGTTTAACTCCTCTGGGGTTTATTTCTCCTATAGTTTAATGTCAGACTTAGTTGATTTCTGTCATCCCTTCTAATTTTAAATTTTATAGTTTATCAGATTTACTTTGAAAGGTAGTGCCAGTCTATTTAGGTCTATTGTGTGTTTGGATTTTAATGTTAGATCTAGTTCAAATATAAATTGGTTTTCATATTATTAAAACTAGTGACTATTTCTCCAACAGAACTTAGTATATCTGGGATATAATCAATTTTTACTAACTCTAAGTAAAGAAATTTGATCTTGATTTCTGTTCTATTAGAACATTTTAATTATAAATTTGTTTCATTATATGATTTCTAGGGAACTGGGAGAGTGTAGTTGAAATAAAAGTACCTTACAGACTTGAAAATATTCTCAGCTGAATGTGGAAGGATATTAAGTTTTTCAACTTTTAATTATTCCCTTAAAGATGTACAGACTTCAGAATTTAAAATAAAGAAAGCAGTTGAAGTTACATGGTTTTATTTGGTTTAATGCCAGACATTAGAACAATGTTGGATAGTCAGTTTTCTCATTTTGTAGATAACTAAGGCTCAGAGATATTAATTAATTTGCTAGGACATTCCTGCTACTGTGTGGCAAATAGAGCCAGAATTTCAAATGCAGAGTTAAGAATTTAAAATCAGTTGTGTTTCATTCAAAAATTGTTTTTTTCCTATGATTCTCAAACTTCCAGTTGAATTTGAGAATAATTTGAGGCTTTTAAAAAACCACAAATGCCTAATGTACAGCATGGTCACTATAGTTAATAATACTGTCTTGTATACTTGAAATTTGCTAATAGAATAGATCTCAATTAACCACGGAAATGTAACCAAAACAAGTGATGGATATATTAGTTTGTGGTAATCATTTCACAATGTAAACATATATCAAAACATCACACTGTACACCTGAAATATATACAGATTTTTTTGTTTAATAAATAAAAATAATTGAATAAAAAAGGTAAAACTGAAAAAAAAAAACAAACCTACAGATATCCACCGATGATCAGTAGATCATCTTGTGGAGTATCCCAGCTATGTTTTAAAAGCTCCATTCTTGTGATTAGTTAGAATAGCACTTTACATCAGTACTTCTCAAACTTGAGAATACATACAAATCAGCTAAGGATCTTGTGAAAATGCAGATTCTAGTTCAGTAGGTCTAGGACAGGGCCTGAGTGTTTGGATTTTTAATGAGCTCTCAGGTGAAATCCCTGATGTAGGTCCCTTGCATCCATACTGTGAGTAGCAGTGATCTACACTGCGTGCTATTGGATTTATGATGTGAAATTTTGGACTACAATTCTTGTGAACGCTGTGACTCGTACACATTTTGTGAATTCTAATTTTGGGACATTATTACATACCTTTGTTTATTTAAAGACGTTTCCTTTGAATGTAGAAGTAGCACATTATAAATATTTACTTAAGCTTTAAATCGTTCAGCTATGGAACTTTAATCATATTCTGTTAATTGATTTGGAAATAGCAGAGTCCAGGTAAAGTCCTGTTTAGACGTGATCTTGCCAAGTTTTGTCTTATATGTGTTTTGTTTGGTTTCAACGGTTCCATGAAAAGTTTATACAAGAACTCGCCCTGATCACATCCATTTATTTTTAGTCCATTCCTGCAAGAAAGCAAATATATTAATTCCAGTTTTTAATCCTAGCTTTTTAATATTTTAAGAGCAATGTCAGTAAACCAATACTCAAAATGTGCAGTATGTAGAGGAGGAAAAGGATTTTCACAGTTAAATGTCTACCCTTTCCAGGTTCCCAAGCACCACCATTGCCATCTGTTATGTCTCCTAGCAGGGTTGCAGCTAGTCCACTGGCTCAGCAAGGAAGTGATTTAATTGTTCCTGCAGGTATTCATTGCACTGATTGGATAAAGCCCTCCTTGCTACTTCTGAAACTAAACTAATTCACTCAGTTTCATAATCCCTTGCTTTATATTCTTAGGTGTGTGTAATTCTGGCTTTTTTTGGTGGCTGCTGCTTTCTTTTTTAACAATAACGGAAATAATCTTTCTAGGCATACCTATTTTTCTGGCTTTTCAGTGTTATTAACTATATATCTTAAACCTGAAATTTAATTCACTTTAAGATTAAAAAACATTGGGGCACCTGGGTGGCTCAGATGGTTAAGCGTCTGCCTTCGGCTCAGGTCATGATCCCAGGGTCCTGGGATCGAGTCCCACGTCGGGCTCCCGGCTTGGCGGGGAGCCTGCTTCTCCCTCTGACCCTCTCTCCTCTCATGCTGTTTCTCGCTCGCTCGCTCTCTAAAAAATAAATAAAATCTTTAAAAAAAAAAAAAAAGATTAAAAAACATTGTAAAATTGGATTCATTTTATTTTATTTTTAAGATTCTATTTATTTATTTGACCGAGAGAGACACAGCGAGAGAGGGAACACAGCAGAGGGAGTGGGAGAGAGAGAAGCAGGGTTCCTGCGGAGCAGGGAGCCCGATGCGGGGCTTGATCCCAGGACCCTGGGATCATGACCTGAGCTGAAAGCAGACGCTTAACGACTAAGCTACCCAGGCGCCCCAAAGTGGATTCATTTTAAATCATGCTTTCTTAACTCTGGAAAAATGTAGATTTACTTATTTGATCCTCTCAGCTTTGCAGCTCTGCTCTCTGTTTTCGGTTAAACAAAAAAGGATCCTTCAACAACTGGGTTGTTCATTATTTGGAATGGGTCAAGTGGAAAATGTTGTATCTTCCTATTTTGAACCACAGCTTACAGATAGCTTGCAGATTGCAACAAAATGATATGTAATTTACCAGTTATGCCCAATGAAAAGTACTTGGGGAAAATGCATTTCTTTGCATTGAATTTGCTCTATACTTTAATATTGCTGGACTCTAAAAACAGGAAAAAGTTGAACTACATATTTCTTTTAACATATGAAATGTTAACGTTCTGTATTTTGTTTCTATGAGAATTTTGTAAATCTTAAATGTATTTGATTTTATATACTGTTCTTGATCTTAGGTTATGGTAAAGTTGTGGCAAAGGCTGGTCTGACTGTAGGAGTAAGTGAGAAAAGAAATTTTTGCTCTGACTTTAAAAACCATTTTTTAGAACTTTTTCTCTTCTCCTTATTTCATTGTTCTTTTTAAATTATTATGAAGTTTTTACTCTAAGTCATTAGTATCATAAGCATTTAACTATTTTTTTCTATAAAAAATATTTTACTATAGAAACTCTATACTGGTAGAGTTGCTTTTATGTCATAATTTCTTAATATTTGGAGCAATACATTGTCAGGGCTTTATACTGCCTTTATTAATTATAGCTTTTTGCAGGAGGGTGGGTGGTCTCTTGAGAAAAAAAGGAGGTACAATGTAGGTCTTGTTTTAGCCTAGCCTTTCATACTGGTGGTAAGATATTTTTAATGACTATCTGAAATTTGAATTATATTTTTAAATCCTCCAAAATTATAGTAACCTCTGTTGTTACTCTGTTCTACATTGTATGATGAAAGGAGATCACTGTGAAGAGTACATAGCCTTTCCAGATTTTTACTGACACAGTTTTTTTTAGGGTCATTAGGTTATAAGATTAATTGTGGGAATTTTGTTTTCTAGAAGTAAAGAGCTTATTTAGAAAAGAAGGCTGGTTGCAGCATTTTTTTTTTTAAGACGATAGACAAACCACAAAGCATTTGTGTTTAATTGGCAGAAATATTTTTTAAGTGTTTGGAAATTGTCCTCAATTATTCCAGAAAGTTCTAGTTCTTTACTTTGTGGAAACCGTTTTATTTTTAAATACATAAGTAGTTTAATTTGAATAGCATCAATGGTTTGGGGTTTTTTTTCTCCTACTTGTCTTTATCTAGTTTGTGTTTTATCTTCTGTTACGATCATGCAGGTGGCCAGAGAACACAGACCAAAAGTGGACCAGTTATTCTAGCAGATGAAATAAAAAATCCTGCAATGGAAAAGTTAGAGCTTGTTAGAAAATGGAGTCTAAACACCTACAAGGTTTGTATTTTTTTAATGTTTCCACCCTAACTGGCTCTAAGAATTTTCATTTGTATGTTATTCAAATTATTATTTGCAATTATATGAATATATAGGAAAGAATAATGCCTCTATAAAAATACAATTAGAAAATGAAGTACTTTGTTTTATTGGTCTTTGCATAAATGTAGTCTAAAAAGTCAGTAGCAAAAGAGTAAAAAAGCTATAGAAATGCTTATTAATTAATAGTACATAATTGAAGAAGAAATATATTACCTTGGAATATGTTTGGCTGTAAAACTGCTATAGACATATCTATCCCTACCTCCTCTTTTTGATACCTTATAGTAACTGAATGTCAAAGAGGTATAGTCATTTTTCAGAGTTGGAATTCTCTGATCTTATTGTAATAATTAAGCATTAACTGTATAGACAGCACCACATTGCAGATGAGTTGGACTTCAAAAATGTATTGTTGTTAGTTGCATTGCCTCAGAGTAATTGGTGGCTCTTTTTTTGTATGGCCTCTGTAAAACAAATAAGCAAATTATTTAATCTATAGTATATTTGATGTATTACAAATAGCTCAAACCACAAATCCATAGTACCTTTGAATCCCAACAGGGACCAAACAGTAGAATTTAAAGAATAGTTAGGGGCACCAGGGTGGCTCAGTCAGTTAAGTGGCCGACTTTTGATTTCAGCTCAGGTCCTGATATTGGGGTGGTAAGATCAAGCCCCACATCGGGCTCTGCACTCAGTGCGCAGCCTGCTTGAGATTCGCTCTCTCCTTTTCCCTCTGCCCCTCCCCCTGCTCAAGCTCATGCTCTCTTTCTCTCTTTCAAATAAATAAATAATCTTTAAAAAAAAATAGTTTAAAGAACAGTTGAGTAGATGAAAACCCTAGTTACTCAAGTCAGAGCATTGGCCATAACACTCTCTATATTTGTGAATTGTTTGTGGAGGTAGTGGTTTGTAAGTCAGGAATTGTCTATATTTTTATACAGAGGACATGTCTCTTATGTGTCTTCTCAAGAGTAATACAGAAGTGAATTTATTCTTTCAGGCAATACTTTCAGAATACTTTCAGAAATCATCTACAAAAGAACAGGTTTTTTTAAGATGATAAAAGTGCCCCTGAAACATGTTCATGAATCTTTCCAAAAATTATTTTCCTCATGCCAGTGTAGCCCTGATAAATGCCAATGGTAGTCGTCAAAAACTAATGCCAGCGTCAACTGTTCTCATTCAGGACATTGTATTTAATTATTGCTCCTTTTGTTATCAAGGATGTGGGGTCTCATTCCATGTATTGTTTCTCCCTTTGTATTCCCTCGTATCACAACAGTTCACCCAGCTATCCAGATTTCTACTTCATCTTCTCATTGATGCCACATACCTCTTATCATTAAATGGACTCTGCCTCCTTAATATTGTTTGACTTTATCCCTTTTTCTCCATTCCAGCTTTCCCAGCCATAGTCCATATTCTTTGTTACTCTCATGTTACTGAATTAGCTTCTTGACAAAATCTCTTAGACTGCATATTCTACGCTGCCTAATATGGTTCACTCTTACTTGAAATTGTTCAGTTGATCCCCATTGTCTTTAGAATGGTGTGGATCTGACCCATCTACCTTGCCAACATTATCCCCTGTTCCTCTCTCCCACCAGTGGATCCAGTGATCCATACCAAATTATCCAGAGATTTCCGAAACAAACTATGCTTTCTCACACGTCTATAACTTACTTATAACTTCATGCGACTATATTTGCCTACTGCTTGGAATTCCTCTTTTTGCTCCCTTTCATTTCACTTATTTGTCTTTCATACCAAACTGAGTTTCATTCATTAATTTATTAAATTTATTTATTCAACCATTCCTTTGTTCATTTATTCATGAAATTTGCCTCTAACTAGTAACATTCTGTGATCACACATTGAAACCTAAAGAATAACAGGCCTTAGTGGTGCTTCTCTGGCTCAGTTGGTAAAGCATGTGACTCTTGATCTTGGGGTTGTGAGTTGGAGCCCCACGTTGGCTGTAGAGATTACTTTAAAACAAAAATAAAGGACACCTGGGTGGCTCAGTCAGTTAAGTGTCTGCCTTCGGCTCAGGTCAGGGTTATGGATTGAGCCCCACGTCAGGGAGTCTGCTTCTCCCTCCCCTTCTGCCCCCCCCCCCACTCATTTTCTTTCTCTCTCTCTCTCAAATAAAATCTTTTTAAAAAATAAATAATTAATAAAAATAATTACCACCTTAAAAAAATACAGGCCTTATTTCTGAATCAAGTCTTAGTAATTACAAATTATAAAATTTAAGATTTTGTTCATTTGAGCCTTCTTGTCTTGTGTCTTTTAGTTCAAGTTTCCCTTGTTCCCTCTTTTTTTCCTATATACTTATTATCTGTTCCCCATTTTTTGTCTTTTACCTCTACGATAATCTGAGTTGAATCATTGTTAAGATTCCATATTTATCTCTTATATTAACATACCACATTCAGCCTTTTTAAAGTTTATGTTAATGAAATTGACCAGCCTTTAAAATGTTGCACAGATGGCATAATTCTTTTTTTTTTTAATTTTTTTTTTTAATTTATTCATTCGAGATACAGAGATACAGAGAGAGAGAGAATATGAGCAGGGGGAGAAGCAGAGGGAAGGGGAGAAGCAGGCCCCCCGCTGAGCAGGGAGCCCGATGCGGGGCTCGATCCCAGGACCCCCGGGATCATGACCCGAGCCGAAGGCAGACGCTCAACCATCTGAGCCACCCAGGTGCCCCCCAGATGGCATAATTCTACATGAAGGAGTTATCATTCTCCTCAGAATGATTATTTTTAACTGAAAATTTTTTTCGTCAGAGCTTAATTGGGATGTTACAGCCTAAATCAGAAGAGAGGAGCGCCTGGCTGGCTCAGTCAGTAGAGCTTGCAACTATTGATCTTGGGGTTGTAAGTTCAGGCCCTGTGTTGGACCTAGAGCTTACTTTAAAAAAAATTAGGCATGCGTGGGTGGCTCAGGGGCCTGCTCTTGATTTTGATTCAAGGTATGATCTTGGGGTCCTGGGATTAAGCCTCACATTGGGCTTCCCACTTAGTGGGGAGTCTGCTTGAGGATTCTCTCTCTCTCCCTCTGCCCCTCCTCCCTCTTGCGTGTGGTCTCTCTCCTTTCTCTCTCTCAAATAAATCCTTAAAAGAAATTTTTAACTGTATTTATACTTTAAAAAAATAAATAGAAGAGAAAAAGAATGTTCTAACTTACATGATTTTAATGGAGTTTGTAGCCAGTGTGTCTGGGTTGGCATATGTTTCTCCACCTAAACAAGCTCAGAGTGTAATGACTTTATTGGATCTCCTTGACTCTGTTCTTATGGCTTTTTTACCTTTTCATTCCAAATTATGAGCTATATAGGACACTCATTGTCATTTGGATAATCCTTCAAGTATAGATTTTGATTTGGTTGATTTAGGTCTGTACTTATTATCCATTTTACTGTTGAGCAACTTTTGATTCTAGCTACAACTTTGATCTTTTTCTTGGACTTCAGCTCCTGCATGGTTTTTGGACTTTAATCTCTCTTCTCTTTCTGTTCTCTAACAAATACTAAATAATTTTTGGGAAGATTGATGAGCATGTTTCAGGCACTTTTCTCATCTTAAAAAAACCTGTACTTTTGTAGATAATTTCAGATCATATTTTAGAAGTATTAACTGAAAGAATAAATTCACTTCTGTGGGCGCCTGGGTGGCTCAGTTGGTTAAGCGACTACCTTCGGCTCAGGTCATGATCCTGGAGTCCCGGGATCAAGTCCCACATCAGGCTCCCTGCTCAGCAGGGAGTCTGCTTCTCCCTCTGACCCTCCTCCCTCTCATGCTCTCTGTCTCTCATTCTCTCTCTCGCAAATAAATAAAATCTTAAAAAAAAAATTCACTTCTGTATTACTCTTGAGAAGAGATAATGTGTCTGTATAAAAGTATAAACAATTCCTGACTTACAAACCGCTACACCCACAACAATTCACAAATACAGAGAGTGGTATGGCCAATGCTCTGACTTGAACAGCTAGGGTTTTCATCCACTTAACTGTTCTTTAAATTCTACTGTCTTGTCCCTGTTAAGATTCAGAGGTACCAAGTGGATTTGTGGCTTGAGCTATTTGTAATACATCAGTCACTTAAAGGCTTTTCCTCACAGAGACTATTTAGCACTTCTTTATTGGTTGTTAATTTTGGCTCTAAAAACAGGCTGGTAAAGCCATAATAAAGTATTTGCTTAAAAAAAAAAAAACAGGCTGGTGATTTAAACCAAATATATAATGGGAACAATTTTAAGTTTAGGCTCTGATATATAAATAAGTATTCTTAAATATTATTTTAATCTGCCTGATTTTATTCATAAATTTTGAATCCAAAATTTATTTATTTTATTTATTCTTTTTTTTTTTTTTTTAAGATTTTATTTATTTATTTGACAGAGAGAGAGACAGCGAGAGAGGGAACACAAGCAGGGGGAGTGGGAGAGGGAGAAGCAGGCCTCCTGCCGAGCAGGGAGCCCGATGCGGAGCTCGATCCCAGGACCCTGGGATCATGACCTGAGCCGAAGGCAGACGCTTAATGACTGAGCCACCCAGGCGCCCCTCTTATTTATTCTTATCTGCAGGAATTCTCACCCCAAAAAATAAAATAAATTAAAAAAAATTTTTTTTAAGATTTTATTTTTTTAAATTTGACAGAGGAGAGACAGACAAAGAGCACAAGCAGGGGGAGCAGAAGAGGGAGAAGGGAGAAGCAGGTTCTCCACTGAGTAGGGAGCCTGATGCGGGGCTCCATCCCAGGACCTTGGGATCATGACCTGAGCAGAAGACAGACGCTTAACCGACTGAGCCACCCAGGCGCCCCTTAAAATTTTTTTTATAAAGAATAGAGTAGGGGCACCTGGCTGGCTCAGTCAGTGGAACATGCAACTCTTGATCTCTGGGTTGTAAATTTGAACCCCACGTTGGGTGTAGGGATTACTTAAAAATAAAAAAATAAATCTTACAAAAAAAGAAAAAAAGAATAGAGTACTTTTAGAAGTCCATCTTACTATTATTATTTTATTTAAGAATGATCTCGGTTTCAGCATTCAGAGCTATTTGGCATGTTTCCCAAGCATTAAATACTTTCTTTGAGTGTTTACAAATTTGTCATCAGTATTCACACCTTATCAAATTAATCTTTGTTGCCTATAAGCCAATATCTTTTAAACTTTCATCCCTGTTTTTCTTATATTATCTTATTCATCTACTGATTGACCTATTCCCCTTGTCAGTTTCTGGTATTTTCTTTTATGCTCCCTTCTTTCCTATCCTTCACCCTTAATAACTCTATAGTATCTATCAGCTTTTGCCATGAAATTATTCTTTTCCTTGTACTTAAGTGTTTTTATTCACTTTTTGGTATTTACAGAAAAAGTTCTTGGTGCTGTTTAAATACTGAGAGTACACAGTGACTATCTTATAAATTCATGACCTGTATGATGGTGATTCATAGTATTTTTTTATACAGTGTTTATCACTTTATTATATCCACCATCCCCCCAAGTAGGAGATCTCCATAGAGCAGTAGTTTACTTCCGCTTTAACCTTGCTCCATTTGTCTTATCTTCAAAATGGAGTCTTAATTTATAAGTATGGAATACTGAATAGGACTGTCAGCTCATTGTAAGTCATCTGCATTTTCAGCAAAGTAGGCTATCTGGAGTTCTCTCACTTTCAGATTACTTAGATTGTCCTTAAGAGTGTACATTATCTATATTGGAATACAACGTGGGAAAGGTTTGTTTCAAAACTTGTTTCTAGTGTCCAGATTTTAACATGCTTCATAATCAATATTGCCTTATGCTTCTTAGTGCCTTGGCTTCCTGGAAACAAAAAACATTTCCTCATTAAACCTCTGACCCCGCTGTCTGCTTGTAACCATTATTTCTGGGAAAAAATGGCCACTTAGACAACAGTAGGCATTTCTTTCATTTTGCCCAGTCTGCCAAGCTTCTTCAGTGAATTCTAGCTTCTTGACTTTCAACAGACTATTTTATCTGGGTTGCTATGGAAGGTACCATATGCTTTGGCTTTCAAATGGAATAAATCTCTGATAATATTGCATAGGGAAAATCCTGGTGTGGATGAAAAGTGGTATATCTCCTTTATCTTGTTACCATTTCAGGTATTGTTTTTGCTGATGTTTCCCTCGTTAAAATGACAGTCTTCGGTTAAGCTTTTCTCTTGAAGTGATTTTCATCTTCTAAGAGTGTATGTGTTCATATGTTTTCCCATAGAAATAGTTTTATCTCTCTTCTGTGAGTTTAGCCTCTCACCTTTCCTATCATTTTTTATATAGTTAATTTCTCTGCCTTTTAAAAAAAAGAACTCCTTTATTTTTAAATGTTTATTAACAAGGATCCTTAATTGATGAGAATAGAGAATATATAGGGAATTCATTTCAGTTTTAAATAGAAAAACATGAGTAGTATATAATATACTAATTAGATGGATAAATATAGATTTATATGTATTGACAAGGAAAAATCTCAAGATATTTGGTCATAGGAAATATAGGATGTTATGTATAAGGATGTTATGTATAGCATAGCACAGTCTCATTTTTACTTGAAAAATATTATATATGTGAGTATAGAGGTTTAAGGAAGAGTCTAGACTATGCATCAAACTGTTAATAGTAGTAGTTTTCTATCATTTAGTGGTTTATATTAAAGGAAGGAAGAGGAAATTCACCTTTTATTTCATTCATTATTTTAATTGTTGGAATAGATATCAATTCTGTAACCAAAACTGTGAAAGACAAGATAAAAGAGCAAATTTGCAAATTTAAAAAATTGCAATATTTATTCCTTTTTTAGAATATTTTTGTTAACTTTAAATGATGAAGAATATATTAATGCCCTATATAGTTACTCTCAAAATATATTATTGAGTAGTGAAGTTGCTTACAATTTTTTGTTGCTAAAAAAAATTTCCTGTATCATTATTTCTGGGGCAGGACAGAATAACATAATTTAATACTATTCTTTCTGGACAGAAGTAAAAGAATTCAGGAATCTCTCATCTCTACCTCTTTCTCTTTCCTCCTTCCCTTCCTCTCTCTCTCTCTTCCTTTCTTCCCCTTCCTCTCTCCCCACCCTTCCCATGTCCTTGTCTTACCTCTTTTCCTTCCTTTCTTCCCTTCATTCCTCCTGCTCACACACATACACACAGCTGTTTAAGAGGAAGATAGAAGGAAAAAAAGCATTTGAAAACAACAGGAAAATAGAATTTTGATATGCTTATTATTCCTATATTAACAGCCCACTCACATTCTTAAATCAATGCCAAGTATCTCAGTTGTTGTAAATAATCTACCTAAGTATGCTAAGTCTGAAATATGATTCTGTGAGGGAGCTCATCTGGTAGTATATAAATTAGCTCTCTAAGTCTTAAAACTTCCTCTGATTAGTAATAGCTATTAGATATGTTTGGTAAGTTTATTTTGAATCTTGATGAACTTCTCTAAGTGGGCTGACCATTTTCAGTTTTTTAAGGATAGCTTGTTTGAAGCCCAAAATGGTATATGTCAGATGCTGTAGTATTTGTACTTCGGATTGCTATATTATTCCTTTCTCTTTTGTTCTTTTTTTTCTTCCTAAACAAAGTGCATCTTTCCACTTTTAGTGCACTCGGCAAATTATCTCTGAGAAGCTAGGCCGTGGATCGAGAACTGTGGACCTTGAACTTGAAGCTCAGATTGATATATTAAGAGATAACAAGAAAAAATATGAAAATATTTTACGACTGGCTCAGACATTGTCAACCCAGCTTTTCCAGATGGTGCACACCCAAAGGCAACTTGGAGATGCATTTGCTGACCTGAGTTTGAAGTCACTAGAACTACATGTAAGATTATTTTAAATAGCTATTGGAGAGTGTGGAGGAGGAGAATGGCAATATTATTGTAAGATGTAATTTGTTACATTTCTGATTTGCTTAATTCTTAATAAATTTGGAATTGGTGTTCTTTTAAAATATTTCATGTAATTTTTAAGAAGGCCCAAATGACTGGAGATGTCAGCTAGAGGTTTCAGGGGAAGGGAGCTTGGTTAGAGGAAAGGAAAAGGAAAGTACTCAGCCTGCCTGAGTCTAGAAAAAATCATAGCTATGTGTATGTGAGCTTGGGTAGAAAGCAAAAAGCAAATTCAGGTACCTATTGAAAATCTCTTACCTATTCTCTACTATTTGTCTTGAACAAATAGTAACTTGCTTGACTGGATTCAAGATCTTTTACTGAAATCATTAATAGAAATTGTGAGTTTTAAAAATTAAGAATTTTAGGGTAATTATAAAATTATTTTTTTTGCATATATCTCTAAAATATTCAGCAAAGCATTCCTGAGGATTTCTTTTGGTTTCTTAAGTGACTTCTTTGATGTTTTTTTTTTTTCCCCCCTCACCTGGAGCCAAAATCCTTTGCCTACAGACTTTCTAACTTGAAGACTTAGATAATTTAGAGCATTAAATTATTTGAAAATATCTAGAATCTTGGAAAAGAAAGTTTGGCTAGAGATGGTGATCTATCTCATAATAGTGAAGAATACTTAGATTCAATTCTAACTAAGTCACTAGATAGACAAAAAGAACTAATCTAATATTTGGGAAGCTGATTAATATAACAGCTGTAGTTATTGAGTGTCCACAATTTCACTGTAAAGGGCTGGGTGCTTTATAGCCATTGTATCATGTAATTTATCTAACAATACTGCAAGAAATGTTATCCCTATTTTATAGATGAGGAAACTGAAGCCAAGAGAGGTTAGGTAATATTTATAAGATCACAAAACAAATTAAAGGTAGAGCTGTGGGGCACTCAGGTAGCCCAGCAGGTTGAGCATATGACTCTTGCTTTTGGCTCAGGTCATGATCCCGATCAGAGTGCTGGGGTTGAGCTGGTGTCCAAGTGCTCTCAGCCTGGAGACTGCTTGTCCCTCCCCCTCCCCCACTGCTCCTCCCCCTGCTCATGCATGTACCTGTATGTGTGCTTGCGTGTGCTCTCTTTCTCTCTCTCTCTAATAAATAATAAAAACTTTTTAAATAAAAGGTAGAGCAGGACGCCTGGGTGGCTCAGTCAGTTAAGCATCTGCCTTTGGCTCAGGTCATGATCCCAGGGTCCTGGGATCGAGGCCCACATCGGGCTCCCTGCTCAGCGGGGAGCCTGGTTCTCCCTCTCTGTTGCTCCCCCTGCTTGTGTGTGCTCTACCTCTCTGTCTCTCTCTCTGACAAATAAATAAAATCTTTAAAAAAATAAATGAATAAAAAAGAGTAGAACTGAGAATCGTATCTATGTATAATTTATGTTTTATATATACAAACATACACATATTTGGTTTTGTTTTCATAGCCAAGGACATGTACAGACAGTGAGGCCAGGAGAGGGCAGCTCTGGGTGGGGCTCGCCTGTGCATGTGCACAGGGAGGAGCTACACCAGACTTGTCTGTGTTTCTCCATGATCTCTTGCTATCTCTTTAAGTGGAATCTTTAGAGAGAAAAATCCCCACAGTAAGGAAAGAGGTAGCCAGGGTATAGGGTCTGGGGAAGTGTTACAGCAGTGTTATCAGTGATGCTTAGACCCTGCTACTTATAATAGTTAATACAGATTGGGGATTTACTATATGCCAGATACTGTTCTAAGTGATTTATGTATGTATTAGCTCATTTAATGCTCAGTCTTAGCTAGTAGGTACTTTTATTATCTTCTAGATGTCAAATCCTTTTTTTTTTTTTTTTAACAGAACTGAGAGGTTAATCCTCAGTATTCAAGTCCATTAGACTCAGTTTTAATTTTTAAGTTTCTTATTTGAGCATCTCTAACCCTTTGTAAGGATTTGATAGTTCATGAGTTTTATTCCAGTGAAAACATTTGCTTATTTTTTTAACAGAATACTTTTTTTAAAAGATTTTTATTTATTTGAGAGAGAGAGAGCAGAGTGAACGAGAGAGAACATGAGTGGGTGGGGGCAGAGGAGAGGGAGAAGCAGGCTCCCCGCTGAGCAGGGAGCAGGACGCAGGGTTTGATCCCAGGACCCCAGGGTCATGACCTGAGCCGAAGGCAGACGCTTAACCAACTGAGCCACCCAGGTGCCCCCGGAATACAGCTGCTTATCTTGCAACTGCCATGTGGGTCCATTGGAAATCAAAGACACAGTATGGGATCTTAATGATCTTAAAACATTTTGCTGTTTCATCATCTTGGGAATTATTTCATCACTACTCATCTGTTATTTCCAACCATGTTAAAAATTACTAAAATGATAAAACAAAAGAATGCTGGCATCGCCTTAAAAAATAATGTAATAGAGGGCGCCTGGGTGGCTCAGTTGGTTAAGCGACTGCCTTCGGCTCAGGTCATGATCCTGGAGTCCCGGGATCAAGTCCCGCATCGGGCTCCCTGCTCGGCGGGGAGTCTGCTTCTCCCTCTGACCCTCCTCCCTCTCATGCTCTCTGTCTCTCATTCTCTCTGTCTCAAATAAATAAATAAAATCTTTAAAAATAATAATAATAATAATGTAATAGATAAATACTCTTTGTAGTCTTTTTTTTAATGTTTTTGCAACGTAGTTGAAAATTTAGAATTTTTCATTTTTTGCTCATATAATGGCAAAGAGAAGACAATACCAGAGGAAGATATTTCACAGTTATTAGAATCATAAGATGACTGCAGAGAGGCAGCAGTATTGACTCAACAATGATGGCAAAATAGATAATACAAGTGAAATTCCAGTCTGAGTCTTCTGATGATGATATCCTAGATGAATTTTCTTAAATTCAAGAGTCAGTGAATTTTTAAGGACAGAAAGGAAATATGGTACTGTATTAGTCAAGTACTGTGGACAAACAGAACCAACAGGATGTGTAGATATACAGAGGGATGTATTTTAAGAGATTGGTTCACAGGATTTTGGAGTCTTGGTACATGTAAAACCTGTGGGGTAGGCGGCAGACTAGAGACTCAAGGAAGAGTTTGAGTGCAAAGGCAGTTTGAGTGCAAAGGCAGACTGTTAGCAGAATTCCTTTTTGCTCCAGGGAATTCAGTCTTTGTTCTGTTAAGGTCTTCAGTTGATTGGATAAGGCCCACTGCCATTGTGGAGGGCAGTCTGCTTTACTCACACTCCACCAATTTAAATATTAATCTCATTCAAAAAAACACCTGCACTGAAATATCCAGAATAATGTTTGACCAAAATCTGGACATCATGGCCTAGCCAAGTTGGCATGTAAAATTAATCATCACAGGTATTTTTATCTAGTCAGTCATTCAATAGGCATGAGTCCATCACGCAACAGTTTTCATTTTTTTTTAAGATTCTATTTATTCATTTATTAGAGAGCACGCGCACGCACACGCACACACACAGGCACACACAAGTGAGGTGAGGGGCAGAGGGAAAGGGACAAGCAGACTCCATGCTCAGCACAGGGCCTGACTCAGGGCTCGATCCCACCACCCTGAGATAATGACCTGAGCCGAAATCAAGAGTCAGACACTTAAACCAACTGAGCCACCCAGGAGCCCCCATGCAACATTTTTTGACAAGAATTTGGACTATCCTATTTTGCTAAAAAGACATACTATATTCTTTTATGATGACTTATGCACCAAAATATACTTGATATAATTTGTTAGTGAACAAATGCTAAAGGCAAATGTGTACGCAGAAGTGATTTGAAGGAAATAATAATGTAAGAAATAGAAAATTTATTGGATTGAACATTCTAATCAGTGTTTATAAATATAAAAATAATGGTAAACTAGAATCTATTGGAGATTGTTTGAAATTTGGAATCAGTATTTACAGGATAGATGTTTTTGTATCAGGATTTTCCAGAGAAACAAAACCAATAGGAGATATGTACATAATACACACACACATTTATTTTAAGGAATTGACTCCCACAGTTGTGGGGCTTGGCAAGTCTGAAATATGAAGGGTAGGTCAGTAGTCTAGAAACCGAGGCCAGATTTCTAATGTTACAGTGTTAAGGCAGAATTCTTTTCCAAGAAACCGTAGTCTTTTTGGCTCTGAAGGTCTTCAACTGATTGAATGAAGTCCACCCACATTCTGGAGGATAATCTCTTTAAAGTCAACTTTAAATCATATCTACAGTGTTTATCATTGCAGATGTTAATCACATCTACAAAATCTGTATCTTCATAGCAACATCTAGACTGGTGTTTGACCAAACAGCTGTCCACTTTAGTCTAATCAAGTTGACACATAAAATTAACCATCATAGTCTACCCTTTGTCAGTTAAGCAGCACTTATACACCTATCCTTAAACTATCCTTAATCTCCAAATAAAGGCAATAGCAAAGTCTTACGTTCACCTAACATGACATGACTGTCCTGCATGCTATCAAAGACAGATTAGCCTTTTCCCCAGAAGAGGATGCAAAGTCCTTGAGTGACATTCACTTTTTTCCTTGGTATCCTGTAAGTTAAATACTATGATGTAAAGTTAATAATATATCTTATGTTGTATGCCAAGGGGATAAGAGAGGGAAGAAAACAAAGTTATTTGCCTTATACATATACACACATATTGATAACAAAATAAGGAAGAAATACTCATAACAACTATGGTCTTCATTTCTACAGATGGTCACAGGGTCTTAGCTTCTACTACCCATTCCATATTGCACTGGCTTTCAGCTAGCACCTCAGCTTGTCAGTTCTTTGCCTCGTGGGGTGACCCAAACCTTCATTCCTGAAGCGTCCAGGCCATTAGTAGTCCTGGCTGAAATGGGTTGATTTCCATTGACATTAATGGGTCGTTTTCCATTGACATTAATCACAGAGCATGGTAGGAGTACTAGGAGATGTCCTAAGAGGTTGCCTATATTCTAGGCATATTCTTCCTTAGCAGTCCAGTTTCCTTTCCCTTCGTCATCAGGATCAATTACATGTAAGCCAGCAAAGTAACTCTCTTCCTTGCCTGCTGATTTCTTTTTGAGAAAAAGTTGATAGTGCAATGATGAAGAGCTGTTGTCCACTTCCTCCTGACATATTAACTGAGACTCATTGACAATACTTAGCACAGATATGGCACATAGTGGCACTGAATAAAGTATGATGGTTATGATAGCTGTTTTGGGATTGCGGCATTTAGGAGTTGAGGAAGAATTTAAAGATTAGCTCAGTTCTTTCATTTTCTAGAGAAACAACCAATAATGAGCAGTAGAAATGGCCAAGCTCCTGAAACTTTTTTGAATGCCTGTAATGTCAGGAACTCTAAGCAAGTTGTCTCACTCATTACACTTTCTATCAAACTTGTAAGAGAATTATCTTCATATTATTACTAAGAAATTGACACACAAAGAATTTAACAAAACAGATAAATCCAGTCAGTAGCAGAACAAGTTAGGAACTCCCAAACTGTTTGAATCCCCAAATTTTACCATTTTATCACATGCCTCTGACTCCCAGTTCTGTTAAAGCATGGCACCTCACCTCACTAAATTGTTTTTCTCAATTTAGAAAGTAACATCTACATCAAGGTTAGAAAAGTTCACATAACCCATATTATTGTCAATTATCAATTAGTACCTGTGAGTATAATTTTTTATTGCTCTGTATTGTTTAAATTAACCCACTTTTTATTGGGTAATAATTTATAGTACTACAACTGGATGTTTTAGATCTAGTCAAATGTTTCTGTTATTTGGTCCTAATATATAAGTTTAAGGGGAAATAGTGGTCATTTACATCTGGTAAATGTTGTAAATGATATAGGAGCTGCTAAAGAGAAAAAAAATCAAATGTTTTGAAACTTTGTTCTCTCTCTGTATAAAGCAAGCAAATATTAAGGAATTGTATTGGCCTTCCCTGTTCAGTGTCAGATTAGAACCACAGCCCTGTTCTTAATGTATATAGCCTTTGATTACTTTATATTTAGTTATTTAGTTTATTTGTAATTGTTAAAGCAGTTTATAATATATAAAATGTCCCTGTCCAACCAAAAATACTGAAATAACTTACCAACTAAATGAAGTTTATGAATCATGTTTTACTTATTTTCAATGCCCAAAAAAGCATATTTAATTATTTATGTGTTTCTTATAATGCATATACATATGTATATTCATTTCTTTCTAGTGTCCCAATTGTTTTATATCTTTTACTACTCTGTCTCTTGTACCTTACTATAAAAAAAAAGCTTTTTTATTCTAGCCAATTAAATTTAAATTATATGTTAAAATCTTAAGTTTTCTATTTTTTTCACAGAATTACAGGTAGGATTTATATTAATGAAAAGAACAGTGGTAGTTTACTCTTCCTGTCTGCTTTGAATTTAGGCCTGTTTTTCAAATGGAAATAGTATTCCAAATTCTGCTATACAACTTTTCAACCTGCTGCTATTTCATCTTACTATGATACAGGTTTTTTTGTTTTTAGTAAAAGTAGCCTTCTAGGTTGTATAGATCTCCCTTTGGCTAATTAGGACTTGTGGCATTTTCAGTGTTAATAATGTGAAATTGTGATAAGTGAACAGTGTTGGGGCGCCTGGGTGGCTCAGTTGGTTGAGCGTCCAACTCTTGATTTTGGCTCAGGTCATGATCTTAGGGTCCTGGGATGGAGCCCCAGGTCAGGTTCCATGCTCAGCAGGCAGCTTGAGATTCTCTCTCCCCTTCTCCCTCTGCCCCTCACCTGACTTGTGCACGCGCGCGCGTTCTCTCTCAAATACAGAAATCTTTTTTATTTTTTTAAAGGTTTTATTTATTTATTTGAGAGAGATCGAGCAAGAGAGAGCATGATTGGGGGTGTGGCAAAGGGAGAGGCAGACTCCCTGCTGAGTAGGGAGCCTGATGCAGGGTTCGATTCCAGGACTCGGGATTATGACCCGAGCCAAAGGCAGATAGATGCTCAACTGACTGAGCCACCCAAATGCCCCTCAAATACATAAATCTTAAAAAAAAAAAAGTTACATGGATGTCTCTTAAATGGAAAATGTCCCTGTCCAACCGAAAATACTAAAACCCAGCACAATAATTTTACTTTCCTGTACTTACTAATTATTGGATATTTTATCACCTAGAAATTTAATTATATCTATAGCACCAGCATTAAACTTGCATTTTCTAAGATTTTATTTAATTTCATTTTACATTTTTTCAGCTGACATTAAGAAGTGTTTCATAACAAACTGCAGAATTCTTAAATTGAATGATACATCTTACAATAAGCTATGATCAAATTTTTTATTTGTTCGGATATGTCCTGATAATCTGTTAAAGCTTTCCAGTCTTTCACTACTGAAAATTTAGAGTTAGTACTTGCCATTTCTGAAGGAGTCACATGTAATGTTTTCTAAGCCAAGACTCAGTTTATTCAGAGCAAATGAACTCGAACTGGTGTGGAGTGATCCTTCCCCAGCTGTGTACCTACGTAGACCTGAGCTTGGGAGTCAACTAGTCACCGAGTTTACAAAAAAATGTGCGTTGTTAATATTTATACACCAAGGAGATTATGTCAAAACACAAAAATTGCAATCTGTCTTATGTCTGAAAGTTTTAGTCAATTGTTAACCTAATTTGGTTGTGAAAGTTGTAGTTTCTCTGATTAATAATCTGCTATATTTTTCTTAACAGCTGTGCTTACATTATAATAAAAACAAAACATGGAAGTGAAAATATTCTTTCTAGTACAAAGTAGCTTAACTTTTTAAAATTATTTAATTCTAGCTATACGTCTGAGCTGATGACAATTTTGGTTTACTAAACTTTTTTGGTAATTATATAGCTAGCTGTGATTTAGATTTGTTTATTTAAACATTAAAAGAAGAAAACTTCTATAGCTAAATATTTTAAATCAAGTATTTTCTAAATCAAATATTTTCCCATTAGTGATACATTTGAGATTTTTTTGGTCACATTCACTAATAAGGGGATATGTTAAGGTGATTTTTTTTGTTTTAGGAAGAATTTGGCTATAACGCAGATACCCAGAAGCTACTGGCTAAAAATGGAGAGACTCTTCTTGGAGCCATTAATTTTTTCATTGCCAGTGTGAACACTTTGGTGAATAAAACAATTGAAGATACATTAATGACTGTGAAACAATATGAAAGTGCCAGGTAGGTATACATTTTCATTATATTGTCTGCTTACAGATGGTACATAATTCAGTTAAGGTTTTAGGTTGCATATGGTAGAAATCAATTCTGGCTAACATGGGCAGAAAAAGAACACAGTAGAACATTATAGGATAGCCCATGGAACTAAGAGAAAGGCAGGAGAACAGATTCTAGAAACAAGCAGGAATCAAAATCAAGATAATGCCTCAGAAGAATCCAATTAGGAATCTAATTAGGACCCTGATGCTGGGTACCTCTGGTACTTGATGTTATCACAGCTACATAAGTCATTTCCAAAAGGCCCCTGAATATTTTGCTTCATTGCCTAGAGAGTGTCTCACTGAGCCTTGGTCATGTGCCCAACCCTGCCTGTTAGAGAATTAGGGAGGTGGAGGATCTCCTAGTTTCAGCTTCCTTAGAAAAGGACAGGGCCTTGTGTTCTAGGTAGTTACTAGATGCCCTCTATAGATACCTCTACTAGGTAGTTACTAGATGCCTCGTAAGCCTCTCTTCATTCTTATCACTGTTGCTTCCCAGTAGAAGCAGTACAATAGCCAGACTTGCAGTTTCACTTTCTCTTCAATATACAAGCTCATTTTTGTTTCCATGATTTTGTTTATCATTGTGGATACCAACAACCTAGCCTTCCACTTATCTAGTTTATAATCAGCTTCAAACTCTTTCGTATTTTACCTTTTACATATTTTCATAGCTGTTTATAATGCAGTGTTTTCATACATTTTATACACACACACACACTCATCATTAATTTCTCTATCTCATAACCATCCTGTTAGGTAAGCTAAGTACATTTTAGCAGATCAGCAGTACCATTTTCAACTTTTGAGTCCAGGCCCAATTTTTCTCCCATTCATTCTATTCTGATTTACTTTGAGGTTTTTTTTCCTCTGAACACTTGAAATCCTTATTTCCTGTTACACTTCTTATAGCATAGTTGAGGATAAGTACAAACTATACCTTTTGGAAGTGTAACTTTATGTTTTGGCCCCTTACCCTAGTTTAATGATATGAGAAATGGCTGTGAAAACTCTAAACTGATCTAGTTTTTGAGTGCTTCTTCTTAAGTATGTATTCCCTTATGCTTCACATAAGTAAAAGCCCAAAACCTCTGGAAAGTTAACTTTTAATCTTTTCACAAGAAGAGATGCTTCTGTGTTTATAATTTTCGGTTTAGCATTAACATGTGGTTCTTAATGACTTGGAAATGAAGGTCAAGATAAATAGCTGTGGTTGTTTGGTCAGAGAAGGGTGGAGGTGGGGCTGTGTGCCCTATTTAGGTTTTGGACTTGGTTTTTTACTTTTCTTCATTGTTTGAATTATTTACTAACACAGTGTTAAAATCAGAAGGTGGAAAAAAATAAACAGAAGGAATCCATCAACAGGATATCCCTCAATAACATTGAAGGAATTTCTCAGTAAGATACCCTTCAATAGGACTCCCTTCAGTACCACTCTTAGTAATTGGTTCTCCAGTCTCTAAATCTTTTCGTGGACATGGTATTTTTCAAAAGAATATTCTGTATATTTTTTATTTTTATAAATTTTATTTGGTTCTTTTCCACATCTGTTCCTTACTCATGATGTCCTAATTTGTTCATAATGAGTACTCTTTTCCTTTTATCTCTTTAATTCTTTTAAGCATTCTTATTTTCTAGTCTTTCAGATTGTTTTGTGGGTTTTGAAGATGAAAATTCTTTTATTCCCAAATTCCCACCACCACTTCTTAGTCAAGAACTACATGAATCTAGTTTCTGTTTATGTACTTTGTAATTGTCCACCTATCCTGAAAATATCTCTAGTACCTAAAACATATTTTTGTTTAGTATATTTTAAAATATGTTTTATTTTAGCATATAATATCTTTTTGGCCATTATTTCTAAGGTGCTTTTAAAAAATATTAACCGATATTATGGGACGACTGACTGACTGGCTCAGTTCGTAGAGCATGCAACTCTTGATCTTGGGGTTGTGAGTTCAAGCCCCATGTTGGGCATATATCTTACTTTAAAATAAAAAAAATTTTTTTCTTAAATATTAGCCTGTAGTAAAGAAGGACAAATTCATCTGATAAGTCACTGAACAATACATGAGTCTTGTTTTAATTTGTGGAGAAAAGCCTCTGGCGGTTAAATGTTTGCTCATTTGGAGCCAATTTCAAAGCCAAAATGAGAGCCCATTGGCTTTCTACCTTTTACTTTTGATCATTCAGTCTCAAATTTGAACTGGATTTATCTCAAATTTTCATACCTATTTAAAAAATTATGATGCACCTGGCTGGCTCAGTCGATGGAGCATGTGACTCGGGATCTCAGGGTTGTGAGCCCCACATTGGGTGTAGAGATTACTTAAAAATAACATCTTTAATAATAATTTTCACATTGTATATTGAGATACCTGACTTAAAGTACAATGTGATAAAAGATCTCAATCTAGGGGCTCAGTCAGTTGAGTGTCTGACTCTTAATTTGGGCTCAGGTCATGATCTTGGGGTCGTGAGATTGAGCCCCACATCAGGCTCCGTGTTCAGCAGGGAGTCTGCTTGAGATTCTTTCTCTCCCTCTTTTGCCCCTTCCCCTGCTTGAGCACGCACTCTCTCTTTCTCTCTCTCTCTCAAATAAATAAATAAAATATTTTTTAAAAATCTCAATCTGGGGGCGCCTGGGTGGCTCAGTTGGTTAAGCGACTGCCTTCGGCTCAGGTCATGATCTCAGGGTCCTGGGATCGAGCCCCACATCGGGCTCCCTGCTCGGCGGGAAGCCTGCTTCTCCCTCTCTCACTCCCCCTGCTTGTGTTCCCTCTCTCACTGTCTCTCTCTCTGTCAAATAAATAAATAAAAAAAATCTTTAAAAAAAAAAAAAAAAAAAAAATCTCAATCTGTCTAATATATGGGTTTATTTGAAACTTTTGAACAGAGTTATAAATCAGGTTATATGTACTTGGTAGCTGGTTATCAGGAAATCTTTAACAACCTCTGTGTATGGTTTAAAAACTAACAACAATAATGACCTCACCTCATAATTTATTCTCTTTCTATTGAAATTACAATGTGATTTTATTCATTAAGCTTAGCTTGGGGTTTGACTTTCCTATACTATTTATTGAAGTAACCGAGGGATTCACTGTTGTAATACTAAAACATTGCCTGCAGAGGGATAACATTTAAAAAGAACCCCAGATTAAAAGTTTCTCAGTAACTGAATTTTTTTCTCTGTCAGAACCAGAATTTACTGACCTTTAGGGCATGGGTCAGCTATTTGATCAGCACAAAAAGTGGCAATTTACGCAAATGTCCGGTGGCCTTTTAATGCTCCCTATTATGCATTGTGTACAAGTATTTCCTAGCCCTGTGGTGCTCCGTGTATAGAAAATCTTATAACGGCCCATTCAACACTTCTCCACAGCACCACCAACAAGGGAGTCAGTTGTGGTCAAGACTTTTCAGATGTGGACACCTGTTCTGTAGAAGTTTTACATAAGCCATAAAGTAACCAACTATGACTAACTTTACTGATACGGATTCAGTTCAGACTGGCAACCTTGAAGAGTTGCATTTTGAAAATTAGTGTGCTTCTCTTCCTGGTGGTAATGAGCACTGTTAGAGAAGCTCTTACGGAAAGTTTTACTTTGATACCATCTACAAACTTTGGATGTAAAAATTAAGGGATATAAGGTCAGTATTATAACTTTGATTATGTTTATATTAATCTTAACTGTTTAGAAATGTGCTCCGAGGCTGATGAAGGATGTTTGTCTTCACATTAAATCACCATATACCACTATTTTTGTTCTACTTTTTCTCTTTCATTTTTTGTTGTTTTTAGTATATTTACGTCTGGCTATCCCTCCTCTAATTTGGCTATTATAATAAATACTCTAAAGATACTAGTTATTACCAGGTATCCTAAGTACTCTGTATTTTTTGTGGAGATTATTATTCTCATTTATAGATGAAAAACTGAAGCAGAAAGAGATAAAATAACTAGCTCAAGACATTAGAGCCAGCAAAGGTCAGAGTGGTCCTTCACTTTGCCCAGAGAACCCATGGAGTTTAACTTACTTGTTATCATTACCAAGTCAGTCTTGCCTCCCAAATCTTTAATATCTGTCTCCCCTTCTTAGCCCCACTGCCATTGTCTTGATTCAGTGACTCATTTCTCTTTTGCCCATGGTCTTCTAATTGGTTTCCTTGTTTCTGTTTCTTAATCTACTCCAGTCCATCCTCCATTTCTTACTACTAGAGACGCCTTTCTATTCTGAACAAGTAGAACATGTCACTTTCTAGAGCAGAGTTCTTAAATGGCTTCCCATCACATCACTTGACCTACCAGATTAAATCCGATCCCTTTAGTGTGGCCTGTAGGCCCTGCTTAATGTCAGTCGTCGTGCCTACCTGTCTGACTTTAATTCCTTCCACTGTCATGCTCCAACTTCAGGTTATGACATACTGAATTACTTCCCAAATGTATCGTGGTATCTTACAGATCTGTGCTTTTGTTCTTGCTTTTCTCTTCCTGGATTGCTCTATTTCCCTGCCACAGTCCACCTTGGAAGCTCTTATCATCCTTTAAAATTTAATTTTAGTGTTTTAATTCTGTTTTGATATACCTAATTAGGTAATTCTTCCTCTTGATTTTCACTCTCTCTTATTCTCCCTCCCTCATGGCAGTTACCATTACCTCATTTTGTTGTAGTTGTTTAAGAGTCTCTCTCCCTCTAGACTGCAGGTTTCTTGGAGATAAACTTTTATCTGTTCATCTTTATAGCTCTGGTTTCTAGCATAGTGCCTGGAACATAGAAGGGGCTCACTTAATATTTGTTGAATAAATCAGTGTATCAGTGAATGAATGGTTCTCTTCTGGCCCTGAAAGATCAAGTTTGTTAAATTCAGTACAAGATAAAAATAAATTCTCAAGTCATATTGGAATATAGTTTATGTTGTTTAAAATATTCTTAAAGGGTGCCTGGGTGGCTTAGTCAGTTGAGTGTCTGACTCTTGGTTTCGGCTCAGGTCATGTTCCTCGGGGTCATGAGATCGAGCCTTGCGTTAGGCTCCACACTCAGCCAGGGGTCTGCTTATATTTCTCTCCTTTTGCCTCCCCCCCCCCCGCCCCACCTCATGTGCACGTGCTCTCTCTAAAAAGAATAAGTAAGTCTTTAAAATATTCTTAATTGCCAGAATGAGAGATGTAGATAGTACTTTAGATATTGAATAAAGAGCTTTAGTTCTAGGGCATAAGTTTTGTGATGCTGATTTTGACTAAATCAGAGGTCACATTGATCTTAACTGAGTACTGAATAGTAGAGACTGCTGGATAAGTCACTGTTTTATAATAAGCAGGTTGGTAGTGTACTTACACAGGTGCTGTGGTAGAGACGTTATGAGGTGCATGCAGTATGATCATGGAGTGGTGGGGGGGTAACTATTTTAGTGGTAGGAGACTATTAGGGAGTAGGCATCTAAACGAGCACAAGGTGTTAAGTGCTCTGTCATAGATGCCATTGTCATGTTCTAAATACTAATATTATGGAAATCCATCCAGAGTTACTCTGTCCCATATGGTAGCCACTAGCTACATGTGTCTGTTGAGCCCTTGAAATGTGGTTAGCCTAAATTGAGATGTGATTAGATGTGTAATATATACAGTGGATTTCAGAGACTCATTACTACTCCCCCAAAAAGTAAAATAGTTCATTAACAACCTTTTTACATTGATTACATGTTGCAATGATAATATTGTCGATATATTGGGTAAAATAAATATATTGTTTAAAAGGTAAAATTAATTTTTATTATTTTAATGTGACTACTAGAAAATTTTAAGTTACATATGTGACTTGCATTATGTTTCTGTTATGCCTTGCTGGCTAGACTATACTTTCAGGCCTGCTGACTCTCAGTGTAGCTTCGTTTTACCAGTTAAAGTATGTCATCCTAAAGTCTGCTGTCTTCATGTGCTTTACCTTATTGGTATTAGCCAATTCCCATGTGAGATAGATCACTTGATCTTGTTGGCATTAGGTTTTGACATCTGTTTTTTTAAACTGGTTTTTAAATTTTGGAAATTCTGCTTGTCAGTTAATACTGTACTTTGGGAAAAATAGTTAATGAGATTAATAAGCAGCTCCCCCCCGCCTGATGCTTGTATTAATAGCTCTTTGTATTAAAGAAATACATTATTTTAAAAGTATAAGGTGTAATATATGTATGAGAATTACCTGTTAATATATAACATGAGACTGTCGTATATTTCCACCTCACCTCCTGAACTTACTTCACTCTGTTTTTGTAATATGCTTCACTTACTTTGTTCTTTCCAGGATTGAATATGATGCATATCGCACTGATTTGGAAGAACTGAATCTTGGACCACGTGATGCCAACACTCTGCCAAAGATTGAACAGTCACAGCATCTGTTTCAAGCACATAAGGAAAAATATGATAAAATGCGTAATGATGTTTCTATCAAGTTGAAATTTCTAGAAGAAAATAAGGTAAATTTAGTCTTTACCTTCTGAGATAAATTTTTATGGACTTTAAAATGATGTCACCCCAAAGAGAGATAAATAGAAAGATTTTGTTTCTGTTAGCTCTCTTTCATTACAGTTGCAGAATGGAATTCCACCAGTAATCAGTGTTTGAGTTTTTAGAAGAACCAAAAATATATTTATCTTTCTGTTATAAAAGTCATCATCAACCCTACTGTACCAGTCCTTCACATGTAACAGTTGGAAAAAAATATTTGATGTTCAACTATTGACCTTCAGATTGGAGTTGGTATCAAATGTTTTTAAAAGTTACATACTTGGAGCACCTGGATGGTTCAGTCAGTGGAGTGTCCGGCTGTTGATCTCAGGGTTGTGAGTTCAAGCCTGTACTGGGTATAGAGATTACTTTTAAAAAGTAAAATCTGAAAATTAAAAAATAAATAATAGAATAAAAAGTTACATAATGATAGATTCTGCTTTGAATATTTTGAGACCTTTTTATTAATGATAGGTACAGACTTCAGAAAGGGAAGAACATTCTTCCTCGTAACTGGTAAATGAGGAATGACTAAAAGGTCCAGCTTAGAGCTGTAGTTAGCATACCCTAGAAGAAACAAGCCAAGAAATCAATTTTCCACATTATTTTTGTATAACATGAACCCATCTAAGGACTAGAACAGTGAGAGCTGAGATGGACCTGCTGTAGGCTTCTATTCTATTCAGAGACTAACAGGCTCCTGAGTTTTGGCTTAAGTAGAGGACAGGTCCCTGTGTTTAACTTTTTTTTTTTTTTTAGATGTATTTATTTGAGAGAGCGTACATGCCAGAGCCCAGTGGGGAAGGAGAGAGGGAGAAAGAGAATCTCAAGCAGACTCCCCACTGAGCGTGGAGCCCGAACAAGGGCTCAGTCTCACAACCCTGAGATCTTGACCTGAGCCAAATCAAGAGTCAGACGCCCAACCCAGGTGCCCCTGTGTTTAACATTTTTAATATAACATGCATACTCAGTTTTGTGAGGGGGATTACAGTTCTGGAAACAGGGAGAAGCCAATAGTGGGCACAGCACAGAGTAGGTGGAGTGGTTCAGTCTTGTGGAGATGGGGTCTTTCCACTGCATATTGGTGGTCTTCTTGTGATTTTCATATCCTCTGAAGTCACAATAGGTCTTCAAATCTACTTTCTTTCGGTACCCTCTTAAAATTGTTCTTCACTTGTTATTGTCTGTTGATATCCTCTTGTTTTCCTTAACCTTTTTTTAGAGACTCTTCTGGCTACCATAAAAGCTGCAGAGTAATACATTTCCTCGGGATCTACCAAGTCCTGCACTACCACTCACTTTTTTTAGCTACAGTGGGTAAAAAGTATTCACCAGAAACAATTACAAGGGCAGTAAAGGAAACTTCAGCAGAGTTATCAGACAGATTGCCCAGCATCATTCCAACAAGAATGCAGTGCAGCCTTTCAGCATTGATTAGCTGAACACGTAAGATGGCATTCCTTTTAGTCCATTCATATATATCTATGTAGATGTATCTCTCTACAGGTATATATGTAGGGAGAGATAGATCAGTTACATAGCTTAACATTTTAATAGATAGGAATATATCAATACTTAGATGTAGATGTATGTTTTAAACATAAAAATATTTTTGACATATTCCTCTATAATAGATCAGCACTATACAGGATAGGGCTAAGTGAGGTACGCTAGCTAGCATTTGAGAGGCTCTCTCCAAAGCTAATTTGAAGGGAAAGAAAGGAATTTGCCTAATTTGGGGGTTCAGGACCTCTGCAAATAAAGAAATTGATTTTAGAAAATCTATAAAATGTTAATTGTGTTCTTTTGGAATCTAATGGTATTGTGTACTCTTCTCTGGATAGTGAGATTATGGGTAATTTTTGTTTTCTTTATATGTTTCTATATTTTAGATGGTTGTGTTGCCTTTATAAAAAAGGAGAGAAAGTGGGGCGCCTGCGTAGCTTAGTTGGTTAAGTGTCTGGCTCTTGATTTCAGCTCAGGTCATGATCTCGTGGTGAGATCGAGCTCCAGGTCGCATTCCACACTAAGTGTGGAGTCCGCTTAAGATTCTCTTTCTCACTCTCCCTCTGCCCCTCCCCCTGCAAAAAAGAAGAGAAAGTAATGTTGAAAGAATCAGTACCCCAAAGCAACTATGCTTATTGGTCCTTGCCAAGGTAAATAGGAAAATTACACAAGGATAAACAATGGCCATGTGATTGCTACTTGTCTTACTCGAACTATTTTGGAAACTTAGGAGATAGCCAGATGTAGACATGCATCAGGGAAGGCACTTATTTGTCAGTTACTATGCATTTTACACATATTCTCTCACCTGTTCCTCATAACAATCTTCATACTTTAATTCTTTCAGTAAATATTATTGAATACTTTATATACTGGGAATATGTCAGGGAACAAAAAAGACAATCTCTGTCCTTTTGAGGCTGACATTCTTATCAATCAGATACACTCATCATCCATAGCTTACAGATGAGTGAGTTCGTTTTACATCATCTTCTGTGATCATATATGCCCTTTGCTTCTGATCTTTGGAACCTCTGTCTCCCTGATCTGTCCACTGTAAAGTCGTTCCTCACTTATTAGGAAGAGTTGTATGACATACCTAGGCTCTTCCCCTTCATGTGTCCAGGAGAAGTTCTAGATTCTGGGAACATCAAAATCAGTATTTGAGCTGTGGAAAATAGACTGAAGAAATTATTTGGGGCCAGTTTATATCTAGTATCATTACTGCCTAAAGTAGCCCTGTGTTGTATCTGGAAAACAGCTATCATGCTAATGTGAGAAATAGAAAGGTACAGAGGTGGCAGGGAGAAAAGAAATTGTGTACTTTCTCCTCTGCCCTTGCTTTGCCTCACTTGATTTATGCTGTGCTCTGCTCTGCTCTGCACTAGAGTTGAGCAGCATAGGCTAATGAATAGGCAAGGTGGACTGTGTCCTTTGTAAAAAAATTCCAGATTAAGAGTGTGAAAACTTGGGTTCCAGACCCGCTCCTGCCACCTAACTTCATGATCTTGGACAGGACTCCAAACCTTTGTATTTTCTTCCGGAAAATGGGGGTAAATCATGCCTTGTGTTAAGTGAGTGAGAAAAACACACTGTCCTCTGTAAGGTATAAAGTACTGTTCACCAGTATTTATAGGATTCCTACTGTGTGCCAGGCCCTTTGCTAGGTGAAGGGGTGAAGGAGAAAGAAAATAAAGTTCATGATCTTAGGGAGTTACAAAAGCATAAGATGGGTTTGTTTTCTAGAAATTATCACCTTCACACCTTCCCCTGGTGGCTTTTAAACTTAACCTGTATCCTGCCTACTTTGTGTCTTTTTTGCTGATATGAGCAGAAATTGACATTAGAAAAGATGTGGCAGGAGACATGAACTGTTTATTTCAACATATTAATTTGAAATACTAAATTTATATCATTTGGCATTAGGTAAGCAATACTTCCTCAGTAGTAAGTAAGGATAATGAATTGACCATTCAGGGAAGTCTTTTAAGATCCGTGGAAGTCTTTAAGATCCACGGAAGAGACAGGACTTCAGCCTAGCCTTGAAAGATCAGGAGGACAGGCCTAAGAGAAGTGGGAAGAGAACCTGCTTGGCAAGGGCAGTGGCCCACATGTACGAATAGAGGAATATTCATGTTTAGTAGAGAAGTAGACTACCATAATGGGACATAACCTTGACATGCTTTAAAGGAAAAGAGAATCAGAAAGGTAATTGGAAGCCACGTTGTATTGAGCCTTGAACACATAAAGATTGAATTGTGGCCTCAAAAAGGATGCATGCTGAGCAATGAGGGACCAGCCAGGTTATCTCTGTAAAGTTTCAGTGTCTGTCAGATGGCTCTCACATCCCAACTTTATCTAGTTGGCATCAGAGAATTTGTAAAGTTAGGGGGCGTCTGCGTGGTTCAGTCAGTTAAGTGTCTGCCTTCGGCTTAGGTTGTGATCCCAGGGTCCTGGGATCCAGCCGCACGTCGGGTTCTCTGCTCAGCGGGGAGCCTGCTTCTCCCTCTCCCTCTGCCTGCTGCTCTGCTTGCTTGTGCTTGCCCTCGCTCTCTCTCTCTCTCTGTCAAATAAATAAATAAAATCTTCTTACACTATTGGTGGGAATGCAAGTTGATACAGCCACTTTGGAAAACAGTGTGGAGGTTCCTCAAAAAATTAAAAATAGAGCTACCCTATGACCCAGCAATTGCACTCCTGGGTATTTACCCCAAAGACACAGATGTAGTGAAAAGAAGGGCCATATGCACCCCAATGTTCATAGCAGCAATGTCCGCAATAACCAAACTGTGGGAAGAGCCGAGATGCCCTTCAACAGATGAATGGATAAAGAAGATGTGGTCCATATATACAATGGAATATTACTCAGCCATCAGAAAAGATGAATACCCAACTTTTACATCAACATGGGTGGGACTGGAGGAGATTATGCTAAATGAAATAAGTCAAGCAGGGAAAGTCAATTATCATATGGTTTCACTTATTTGTGGAACATAAGGAATAGCATGGAGGACATTAGGAGAAGGAAGGGAAAAATGAAGGGGGGGAAATCACAGGGTGAGATGAACCATGAGAGACTATGGACTCTGAGACACAAACTGAGGGTTTTAGAGGGGAGGGGTGTGGGGGGATGGGTTAGCCCGGTGATGGGTATTAAGGAGGGCACGTACTGCACGGAGCACTGGGTGTTGTACGAGAACAATGAATCATGGATCACTACATCAAAAACTAATGATGTGATGTATGGTGACTAACATAACATAATAAAATAAATTTTAAAAAAAGGAAAATCTTAAAAAAAAAGAATTTGTAAAGTTAGGAGTAACAGAAAAAAAAAATGACTTAAAAACATTCTTCGTGCACTATAGTTCAAAGGCAGAAAGAAAGTAGAAGCACACAAACCAGCAAGGAATCCTTTATAGCCAAATGAAATGATGAAGAGCCTGACCTAGGGTTGTTGCAG